CTGCATGCTCCAAAGACTGTAACACTTGGTATCTCAAGGAAGTCTTCTTGGCACTTCAGCCTCCGGTAAAAGAAATTATAGAATCTATTCAGCATTGAAATTGCCATGTTCAGTGAATGCCATTTCACTGATATGCCTGTAGGATCCTGTATAAAAGTTCAGACTCTGAAGATGGTGAAATTGTTACAGTGCACCTCTACTAATATAGATGTTATCTACAGCAAGACCACTCAATGAATACATCATAGAAACCCAATGAGAACTTTTCTTCTTTGCTTTTGATTCAAACCACTCTTACACATAAGAGGCAGAATAAGACAGATTTTACAAAAGCCTTGCAGGTTATTCAAAGTACAACTTGAACATTATGTGTCCTTCTGCTGACACATTTCTAAAGAACCCTTGTAATGCACATAACAGCTTACTATTGCTTCAAGTTTTTTCAAGGCAACAAAACACAGCCCAACTGAGCCAGCATAATATTAAAAGAGTAGGAAAAAACCCATGCATCACAAGGATCATAACTCACAATGCTCCTGAAAAATAGTCAGAACTGAGGATGAGATTTGGTATGAAGTTCATAATAGCTATGTTACACCCTCAGAATATATGAAAATGTCTAAACACAGCATTATATATCATAAGCATCCTACCTTCTTGATTCTGATGAGCCCTGCCACTCACATTTATATGAAACAAGTACATGAATGCATTTGTGGGCTGTGGTACAGACATGCTTGTCACATGGCTGATGATCTCAACCAAATGAAAACCCTTTCAATTTACCAAGCACACCAAAACTGTTTCTCCTACATTTCTCCACCTAGCTACAGACAACCAAATCAATGAATCTGATTGAACTGATACAGTTCACAACATGAACAGTTCTGCAAAAAAATCCTGAAGTACTTCCAGTTGTTCGATAGGAACTATGAGGAATATCCAGACCAGAAGGTGGCACATACACATTTTTTGGCTCCAAAAAAGGATGCCCGAACATATTACATCAATTCCAAACTTCTCTTTATATCAAATTTCAGTTTCTTAAGTTCCCCATACATTTCTGTGTATGTTTAGACAGATGACAGGCAGACACAGATGACAGACAAATATACATTAGAATGGTGACACAAGAGCAGTTTCATACTGAGCAAGGCAGACTTCCCATTTTAAGTAGTATTTGAGTTTTTTGACTATAGAAACATTATAACAGCAAAATCCTCCTTTGCTTTCTGATAAATTTTTCTCATATATACTACTGAGAAAAAGATTTCAAAAATCAGATTATTTAGTTAGGCAGGACTTTTAATTTTAAACATCATATGAAAAGAAAATTTGTTTTGAAAATCCACTATTCTCTAATGAAAGCTAGAATACAGTGACTTAACTTATTAAGGTCAATAAACATTTAGGTTTGAGGTTAGGTTGAGGTGATCACTGTCTTTTAAAATTTAATTTCTTTAAAAAAAACCTTTGACAACAGCAGGCCTTGTTCACATTCCAATAAAATTAAAGAAAAAAAAAAGCATCTTAGATTCTTAGAGTAGGCTCTTCATTATAAATACTCTGGTCTGAAAAGTTGCCATTATTGTTTGAATGTATTTTTAAGAGAGATTTCACTGAGAGTTCATGAAAGCTGCAGGATTGCACTCCCAGAGATTCAGACCCTACTGAATTTTACCACCTTTTTTCCCCTCTATATAAAGCAGCATGGATGAACAAAAGAAGTCACAGCTCTCCCTCCAGCTACAACTTCTTCAATAAACACTTCCTCATATTCCAAATCTCCATGAAGTAGGTACTTTACAAGCATAGGTATGTATGGATCCACATTGCCCTAAGACAGCCTTAGCAAGGAAATGCCCTGATCTGCCTCATTCATATGCTCATCCCCTAACTGACACACACTAGTCCTTTCCGAGGCACCCATAAGGAACACTGATACCAGAGTTTTCCAACAGCCCTTTCATCTCAAAACCATTATCTCTTTTGACACTTGCACCTCCAAGCAGCTGCAGGCATCGAGCATGGGAGGCCTCTGCTGAACAGGAATAATGCACTTCACCTCACTGCCTAGGGCCAGGGAAGAGCTCACCACCTGCAACCAGGCAAGAACCCATCGCCTGCAAGCAGGAGCAGAGATGCAACATGAACCCTCACTCAGCCAAAGAAATAAACATAAGGTGTTTATCCAAGCCCACAGGATGACACTGAAGACTCATATGCTCCTCTCAAAGAAGCACATGTACACAGAAGTCAAAGCCAGTGCAGAATTTATGAACTCCTGAGTATGCAAGAATATTCTTCTCTCTCCACAGTAGTAGCTAAAGTAGTTTGGAAACAACATGTCATAAAGAGATAATTTATTGCCAAAATGCAAATCTTCAGAACATCTGTCTGTGGGGCCTCTCCACAAACTCACATAAAGCCATCAAGGCTTAGGCTTGCAGTACAACATAACCACGTTGAACAGAGTTTCAGACGCTCTTCAGATTCTCCGGTATTCTGGATACTGTCCAAGTAGTAATTAAAAGAGTCAACACATTCCCAGTATTTGGTGTTGATTTGAAACTGCACAGAACTGTCTCCTCTGAGAGCAGTGAAATGCAGAACATATGAAATCACATTGGACGCTTTCAGATGTGGAACTTACACAATATTTGCGGAGAGTAATAAAATCTCATCAGCCCTTATTCATGCTAGATAATAAAAAACTATTTTCTGTCAGAGCCAGGGACGTTTTAAAAAAAAAATGCCATCTCCTCCAGTTATGAAAAGAAACAGCCACTTCACAAAAGCTTTATTTTATGGTAATATCAAAATAATGTAAATAACACACTGGAAGAACCACAAGGCAATACGAGCTTCATAATCCAGTTGCCTACCACCAAATCAGTGAGGAAGGAAGAAATCAGCAGCTTGCAACTTATGTGGTGCTTACAAAACAGCTGTACTTACAGTCAACAGAGGGGAAAAACCCTGAATTTACTTCTGGAATATCTAGACAGGAATGGCGTCAGAACCAATCTTTAATGGCCTCACCTTCAGCCTGCAAGAACACAGCTGAAAAGGCCATTCAATCTGCTATATCACTACAGGAACCTGCCTGCTGAGCTTGCAAGAAGGGCAGTTCATACCTAGCAAATAACCTTGCTGGCTCATTCCCACCATGCATGAAGCCACAGTTTTACCAGAGCACCCAGATAAAGCTTTGACTTTTGAAGAAGGCTTCAGTGTCCTCTCCAGAAACACCATGTAAGCATTTCCAACAGTGCTTCCAGTGCTACCCATCTGTGAGGTGAAAGCCACGCAACAGATCAAGGCATTTACAGATATTAATGTGTTAGTATTATTCTATTATCAAGTCAACCAGGAGAAGGCAATGCTGCAAGGAAGGATCTGTAGCAGTTGGTGTGCTATACCAGTGACCTAGATGTGAAGGGAAAAGGAAGGACTATAAAAGAAAGATGATTGCTTTAACAGCATTCAAATATGATTGATTGTGGTCTGTTTAAGAGGGGACTCATTTTCAGTTCAAAACTGAACACCAGATTGCTGCATACCAAGCTTTTTCTTATTCAAAACCAAAGACCATCCTTGTAGGGGGCAGGTATTATCAGACCCTGAGGCTAAGCCTTTGCAGCCTGAGTGTTTTATTGAGCTGCTGTAATTCTCTTGACTTCTGAAATATCAAACTGTTAGTGGATGCTTTCCTCAAGCCTTTAAAAACATTAATGCCCAAGTGCTGTTTCACAGTTGTCCAAGTATCTCAGGGATAGCCCAGGAAAAGGATCTAAAACAAATTGTCCATTATCTTAAATTTACTACAGTCACATGGAAGAATTTCAGGGCTCAGTGAAATAGCAAACACCAATGTGTGTTGATCTTCAAAATTAGGTAGTGACAGAATCAGAGAATAAGCTGAGTTGGAAGGGATTCATGAAGATCACTGAGTCCAACTCTCAGCCCTGCACAGCACCATCCCCAAGTCCTTCCACCCTTCTACAGGAGAAGTTAACAATATTAAAAAAAATGCTCCCTGCAAATAGATAAAAATAAATCACCTAGCTACTGGATATATAAATAAAACAAATGTTTAGATTTCTCCTACTAATTGAATACAGGAAGTAGACAATTTTCAAATGGGGCTTTCCTTTTCCAATACCAGATACCAAAACCTCATTACCCAGCTGTAATTACTTCCTCTTTATTATGTAGTTTATAGGTAGACAAGAACAGGAAGGCTATGTTAAATACACGTGGCACTTGGCAGAAAAAGTGATGGTGATTAGGCACGGACACATTACCACAGCTCATATCGAGTTTTGGTTAGCTTGATACAGTTTTAGCTTGTACAGCTTTAACCAGTTCATGGAGAAGCACAGAACTTATGCCAGAACAGATTTGACCTGCCACGTATTTTGCAATGCATTTGAACCATAAGAAGGAATCTGTATTTCACAGTAACACTGTAGTCAGACAGTGAGATTTGAAGGGAAAGTAAAGTGGAGCCAAGATGGAAGGAGAAGAAAATGGAACAAAGGGTGGCAGGTGGTGGAGGGAAACCAAATCCTAAATAATCACACTGGGCAGAAAAAGACTCTTGAAGCAGGCAGAGCCAGAACAAGGAAAGAGGCAATCTTCCAAATATGTTTGGGTTATTTGGGATGTAGCTGTATGGTATCAGGTGACTTGCAAAGGAATGAGCTCATTTCTGTAGCAAAGTGGTGGCACTAAGGAATCAGCATTCCAAGATACCATGCTTTCTTGCAAGAGACCAGTTTGGTTGATTTCTCCTCATGTATATTTATAGTCTTAGATAACCTCAGGATGAGAGCCCCATCCTCCCTTCCCAACCTAAAAACAATAAGCAGCACTCACTGTTGCCAAAAAACAAACAAAATTTATATATATGTATAAATTACACCATGCAGTCATGGTACAAACCAGCTCCTGTCTTGAAAAAGGGAACAAGGAAAAACACAACAGTAGTTACTTACATTCTTGTATTGCTGGTCTTGTTGATAATTACAGATTTTCCAGTCTGATCCACATTGTGATCCATTCCAAAATAAGCTGCCACTCTGTGCACCAGCATCCTCTGATACGATGACATCTGAGGGAACTTTTTATAGTGATTACTAAAAACAAAGGAAATGAATAGCATTGATAATTAAAATTCCCTCTAAACTAAAAGTAAATTAAAACAGCAATACATTTGACAATTCAGCGGACAGAAATCTCACTGAAAACTTCTCCGTTATGCATTTACATGTAAATGTTTGCTACAGAAAAGCTGAAAGAAAAAAAAAAAGGAATTAATTTTAGAATTTCTAATAAGTACATTTCCATGTGCAACATTGGGACAAACAAAGCTCACACTTCATGGTACCTAGTCAGTATTCTGAGTGTTGGGAAGAACTCATCCCCCAATCCCTCACACACACTCACACTCTCTGCACAACCAATCCTAAAGATTTGCTGAGACACCAGCAACAAAGGTCAGAAGCAGGGCAATTCTGGAAAGATCTAGTTTGGCAAACACTCCTTTTTCCCTCTATTACTGACTGACAAAATGGTTATTTCCCGTCAGCATAATTTTTCCCTCTGCTGCTATTCTGACTCTCTAATTCGAAAGCTGCAGGAATAGTGTATTATAAAGACCACATAGTAGCAAGAATCCCTCCACCTAAGCTCAGTTCTATTTTCCAATGCAGTAGAATAACATAACACAAAGGAAAAACCATGAGATAACATATTTGATTATCCTCTACACTAAAAGCTTTAATTATATTTTTGGATCTAAATGAGCAGGGCCAGTGCAATTACAAGACAATGAAAAGCAAAAGGTTTTCATTTACATCTATTTTATTTTAAGCAGTTCCACCACGTGGCAGGAAATAGAAGCCTGCTCTTGCAGTGTGCCAGTAACAGCCCTCAGGAGCACTGCGGTCCACATGAGTGTATCCCTCACACAACCCACGCTGCAACACATGCACGTGACTTAATAAACCAAGAGTGGAACTCAACTTACTTGTTGTCACTAATGAAATCAATAATTTCCTGTTCCATTTTCAAGAGGATCATTCTGTCCCTGTCAAAAAGAAATGCAAGGATTTGTACCATCAACTACGAGTAGACATTTTAGAGGAAAACATTCATATAACAGTGTTCATAAGGCTATTTTGCAAGCGTTGTCAGTCATCTTGATTAAAAATCAAACATGCTTTTTTTTTTACCCTAGATCATCTGCAAAAGACTAAAGTCTGCACCTTCACTGACATACAGATTTCACTCTTCTATGAGCTCAACTATGGCTTGAGAGCACTTTCAGCCACAACAGGCTGCAATCAATGCGTTGCATAGAAAGACTCTCACTGCTCTGGATAGCTTTGGTCTTTTTTCAACCTTTTTTATGGAAAATAAGATTTCCACCTAAGCTAGATCTTTCACAAGAAGAGCTGCTACCCACAGAAATTTTAAACACTTTTCCTGAGACATACCAGAATTCCACAAGGCATTGATTTGCTGCAAAAAAACTGAACATGTCTAATCTAGTTAGAGAGCACAATGAAGAACACCACCTTTGAGCTATGGCTCCCAGGAGACAATGCCACAGTATAACTCAGGCAAAATGCTCTGGTTTTCACTGGAAGGTTTCAGATGTTCTTTTTCCCTCCCCTCCCTTGTCAAAAGTTTCCCCAGCATATTTCCACACATTTCTAAGCTGGACAGAGTCCCATCATTCCTTAGTTCCTTTGAACTTTCTCATTTTGTACAGATAAAGCAATTGAAAGACCTACCATCATCTGTACAAGGGGTTATGCAAGCTGTTAGGTACCCACTTACTCCCAGTTCTCCTGGGAATAGTTACAGAATTACATGGTACCTATTTAATGCATCCAGCTGAAATGAACATTGAAAATCACAATACATAAAAACGTTACAGATCTTTCCTTGGATGTTTAGAGGCTTGTATCTCCAAATGAAAACTATAGAATTACTGAGAGCAAAATTTGACACTGAGCACAGGATTTTAATTGTGTGCAGCATTGCTAGAAGAAAGCTACTTTACATTCATATACACATCTCCAACCACAATGGTTACAAGATATTATTACAATCACCACACAGAGCTGCATAAAAGACGGTAAAAACAAAGACCAGATGCTACTGAAAGTGAAATTAAGCAATGGGCGACTGGGTGTGGGAGTAAAAGTTGATGATTTTTTAATACCATTTTTCTCAGTTACATTTTCCCTCATAAGCATCTCCAGAACAAATAAAACACAGTGTACAGTTAGGAGAAGTCAAAGACTGCCAACTATAATTTCAGGAATGTCAGCTCTAATGCAGGAAATACCTACCTGGGGTTATTCTTTAATGTGTTAATGAGAAACTCATGCAAATCTATGCCTGTTGAGTCTGTATACTCTTGACTGCAATCTGCAAAATAAAAATAAAGAGTCTCCACTCATTTATTTCATTTCAACAGTTCCGATTAACTTCTGATTTATGATATAAATCAAAACCCATTCTCCAGCAACAATCTGAAAGAATATTCTCTGAAAGAAAATAGTCATTTGGAGTTCAGCCAAGAAAGATATACATTCTGAACACCAGGTGGACATTCATTATTCCTCTGTACAACTCCACTGAGAACATAGCATCAAAACTAAACACTGACAGAAACTGCTGATCATTTAATACCACAGAAAACCTTCAATGCCATTCAAGACCCTGCCAAGTTCTTCCTTTAAACTGTTAAAAAACAACTTAAAATGAGGAAAGACAAGTTTTATTCATCAATATCTCTTTGTGTCACTTAATAAATGTTGTACACTCAGCAAATGAGGAATCATGCCAGTGGGAACTCTATTTGCATTAAAAGACTGAAATCAAATGACACCTGGGAGTAGGCAGGTAATAGGGATGCGTGACAGTAGCCAGAATTAATTTTTCAGCATTATCTCCTGACTCAAATGTACACACAGATCCTCAAATTGGCGTGAACTGTGAGAGCTCCATTGAAGCCAAATGACAATTAACACCAGCTGCAGATCCACACCCAGGTAGGCAATGATTATTTTTGAGAGATTACAACGCAACTTTATACCATGGATTAATAAAAAGGTTTTAAAAAGCAATGCCAAATTTAGATAAAACATCTTTCCTGAAGAAGTCTTGGTAGGTGATAATGGAAGACTGCAATGCAGGTTAAATGGCATGGATTAATTTCCTTACAGCATTTAAGAGAAATTCTCCATGAGAGAGAAACAATAGTGAAGCAGAAACAATACTGCCTACACTGCACAAATTACATGCCAATATATCATCATTAATCTAGATAAAAGAGTATTAATGTCTTATGCACTATATACACTTATTATTCAAATCATACATATATTTATATATTTATGTATTTATACCAACATGGTTAAGCATTCCAAAGATCAATTTTACATTAAAGAAAACAAATAAAATCTAATAAAAGACCTCAATTTTGGAGGTTTATTCACTTTAAAGCCTGATGTTTGTATGAAAAACATTCTTATGCATATACATTTTAGTTTCTGAATTTTCTCAGTGTATGAAAATACTTTTACTGTGTATATATACATAGATAAGGAAATAAATCCTTGCAAAAATGTACAATCCTTTCTGCAATGGTAATTATAATAATTCAAATATTTTTAAGTTCACCTTTTGATAACATTCTGATCTTGCTTTTTTCACTGTTTCTATCTTTATTTTTATCCTTCTCTTTTTCTTTCTCGGAGTCATCTTTAATAGATTTATCTTCTTCTTGCAAGCTAGGAAAACTGGAAAGCTGTAGTTGGATGGATTCCTGTTGGGGAAAAAAGATAGATAAATTATGGGCCAGATTCAGTATGTTTCCATGCCTTCCAACCTGCAGATATTAGCATTAAACCATGTGTAGCTAGAAAAATTGAAGCCAGATACATTTCTTTCCTATTTGAAACATGGCATTTTTTAGCCAGGTGAATGATGATATCTTAGAGGGCAAATTCTACTGGTAATTAGGTATTTGTTCTCTAATATTTTGAATATTATAAAATTTAGGCAATGTCTAGTAAGGGGACTGTATTATTCTACACTTCAGTAGTTCTCCCTTAAGACTTTTCAGAATAATGAAATACATTTCATATTGCCTTTCTTAATTATATAATGTAATACTACATATGTTCAGTGATGCCCAATGGATAGATATATGAAAAATAAAACTTTTTTCTTTTCACTAAAAAGTCTGCAGGTTGATATGAATTGTTTTGCACACATAAGTGCAGTATCAGATAGATGGAGTTTTTTGGCTCTAATAGTAGAGGAGTGCCAGCAAATTCTATACTCCATTGTATACAAGAGGGCTTACCAACTTAACAGGCAATACATATTTAGAGACATATGCAGATGTGTCTTTTGCAAAAGACAGGAAATGTGCCCTGTGGTTTTTTCAAGGACATTTTACTAACTGAACTTCTCTAAGGTATCACAAATTTTACCCTCAAAAATACAGTATTTTGGAGGCTATGAGTCCTTTTGAAACATGCTTCAACTTTAAAAAGTTTATTTTAAAGCAGTTTGAGAATTCAAGCTGGTTTGCATTTTCTAATTTCTTTAAAGAACTTGTTTTCCCTGCTCACAACATTACATTATACTGGCTTTGTTTTAACAAAACCTAAATTGTTTTCTTTTTAAGTTACCATGAAATAATTTATGTATTTCAAGAAGTCCTAATCTGGTTGGATAAAACTGAAGGAATCATACTTCTGTATTTTATTCTTCTAAAGGAAAAAAAAAAAAACACTCCAGAGAACTATATGCTTAAGTAGTGTAAAAAAGCAAATTTAGAGAAAGCTGTCATAAAACTCCCTGGTAAAGTAGTTTTCTTTAATAGAACAGAATCAGGCATGCTTGATAATTTTTTGACATCATGTTAATAAAAACCTAATTCACCAATACTTGAGAATTTCAAAGTTTCTTGAATGCTAGTGAATTCCCTTCCTTCACTATTTTTCTAAGAATACTACCATACCAAAAGATCAATAGAAAACTTTAAAGTAAGGGGTATGCTTTTAAGCAACCATTATGAATTCAAAAGATGATACCAGTAATTATGGCAAATTTTAGGTTTCTTTAAAGAACTATGGATCAGCCATCACAAGACATGTAAGACAAGATCCTAACAAAACAAGGCATCAGCATAAACATGCCACATTAAGACAGAAATTGGTAACTTCTCAGCTTAATCATTATTGACTTTTTGTGAAATTTGAATGTGGCACAAAAGACTTGAGATGAAAAGCATTCTAAAAGAGCAACAAAGACCTAGACCCAAAATTTAACCTGACCTAGTGCTCTTCATCTCTACTTCTGTTAGTTACGGCTGACAGTCTTACAAAAAATCTGAGCCTACAGAGGCAAAGAGTGGGAATTCCTGGTCATTTGAGATAAGGATACACTGAGAAATGTTTCTGGAATTGCTCAGTTGTGCTCAGAGAACTAATGCTGGGCCTGCTTTCTTTCACTTCAAATGGCTGTTCGATTTCTCATTCAAACAAACTTTGGATCAACTATTGCCAAATGACACCAAAGCATAACTTGATTCCCTGCCCTGCCCAGAGCAGAGTGACTGCAGTGCTAGCTTTTCAACAGGAGAAAAATGTAACTGGCCACGTTGTTCCCAGGATATTAATCCTAAACTTCATAGTGGTTCTTAAAAATGCACTCATGAAAATGACAGACTTTACAGAAAAGCACATATATAAACATAAAGTAAATACTGTTTTACACGTAACGTAATACTGATGTAATTGCACTAGAAAAAAACACACAAAAGGGCTGTAGAGTCGTGAAAGCAAGCTACTGTGTATTTTCTTAAATTTTTATTGATTTTTCTCAATAATAAAATACAATGTTAATAAATACATTGATACAAGTATAGTGAACAACAAAATAGATTTTCAAATTGCAATAATACACTTCTTGGTTTATAGTATAACATTAAAGGCAACATTTCTTTTAAGTAAGGACATAGTGAACCATTGGATAAGCACTCAAGATCAAGTAATACAGGTAAACAAGATTTTTCCTTATACAGGAAAATGAAGGCAAGTATTAAAATATAAGTACAAACATCAAGTCTGCAGTACAATCCATACTCAGTAGTTCTGGCAAGGTACCGTACATTCTCTGATAATTAATTCCTTGTGGTTTATAAACCATTAAGATAAAATAAAAATTAACAAAAAATAATTCCAAACCAAAAATAAACTACTTCTCCTCTAAACTGAAAACAAAACAATTTGGTTGGCACAAAACTTCCTGTATCCTTCAGCCAGCCCAAGGGGGAGCCTGCAGGTCCAGCTTTCCACGGCAAAGTTGAACCACATTCATTAGTAAAAGGTCAGAAAGAGCAAAAGGGCAATTCCTATCAAATTAATTACACCAAGACAATTGCTTCCTTAGAAAACATGATGGGGTCAAGGGTGACATTTCATCTCTCAAATATTTTACGATGGTCAAATAAATCTTTGCTGAGGCTGGTCAGTCAGGTAAGACCAAAGGCTGTGTGAAACAGGAGCCCCTCCTCTGCCCGGTGTAAGGATAGGGATTTTGCCTCAACACCTGCCAGTCTCTCTGTAGTTCAGTACAGGTCGTGTGCAGTACATTGTACACTACCAGCAACACTTAATACAATCTCTTTATACTGTTCTCCTTCTCATTCTCCATTAAACAATAGAAAATACAAAGAAAATTGGAACAAAAGCCACGCATTTTGAGTAATGCAAGTCAAGCGAAAAGCGTCTACCTACAACAGAACAACTGATAAAATAACCTGCCCATCTACTGCATAAGCATCATTGTAAAGCAGTAGAACATGCTAATGTCCTGCTGCTAAACAACTTGGTTTTTGGTCTTTCAATAAAACTAAAAAAATAGAAAAACCTCTCCTTACTTTTGAGCTAAGAGGAGAGACAGATTTGTTTCATTTCAAGTCAATAGAGGAAACAGTGAGAAAGTACACTTAAATGTCATTTTTTTATTTTTGTGCTAAGCTCACAAGAAGCCACTTACTCAAGCTCTCTCGACGGCTGATTTCAGTTGTACATAAACATCATAAATTATAGGCAGTGTTCATCATATTTTGGGTTTTAGTTAGCTGGTTTTTTTTCAGCCTTGCTCTCACTAGGCAAGCAAAGAGGAGTAATTGAGGCTTAACTTTTGATTTTTGGAGTACTTTTTGAAGTTAGTCTGCAAAGAGTGCCACCAGTGTTATTGTCTGAGCTGAGGAGTGCAGAGGACAGCTACCAGCTGCTGGGAATACAACACCACCAGTACAGATAAACTCAAATACACGCTTTTTGATATAGTTTAATTTACACCAAGAGGTTAAAAAATGAATGCCACTAAGTATGAGGCATCCTTGGCTCTACCAAGGTATTTTAGAAAGCGAAGGATCTTTGAATTTTATGTGAAGGGGAACACTGATATGAACTGAATTCTTAGAGGAACCACAAATCAGAGCATATTCATAACCGTATTTGGTGCAGCCTCAAAAGAGATAGCCTTAGAGAAAATAACATATTAATTTTTTTTGAGTGTTACTATTTTTTTAAATTTTAAAATCTGAATTCTTTTGAATTCTTTTCCATTTGCTGAAATTTTCAGGGGGTCTGGAAAAAAAAGCAAACAATACCCTGTGATAAAGTACAAAACTAGTATTTCAAATTAAAGTTCACGCTAAACCACTAAGAACCATAAAAACACGTTCATTGCCAGATGTAATTTTTCCCCCATGAAAGACATTGTTAAATGCCCAATTAAGTAACACAATCATGCAACTGAAGACGGAGGTCAACCATGCAGCTAACAGCAATGATTGCAAGTGTACCTGGTTGTCATGAAGATTTTCTGCTCCCGGGCGAGGGGTTGACTCTTCACACACAGCAAGACTCCGCACGAGTTTGCCCTTAGCTCCTGACTGAATAAGAGAGACACAACAAAACAGAACACACTACTACCGTCCCCAAGTCACATAACTGTCCACATCAGCTGCTCCCAAATATACCAGATAGCTATTACCCACCCAGTCCAAAAAGTGCTTTTGCCTGGATACAACATGGATAAAAAATGATTCTAAGCATCAAGACATCTGCCACACAGGGAAGGTGGTTGGTTTCCTTTTGATTTTATAATTTCAGCTACTGTTCACTCACTTCCACCAAAAACTAACACCAAAGAACAGAAAGTCCAATTCTGAAAGCAATTTAACATAGACTCAAGGGTTCCTTTTGTCATTTGGTTTGGGGTTTTCTTTGTTTGTTCTGGGAGTCCCTCCCCTTCTTCTAGTAGTATATATCCAAGAAAAATGGACAATAAAAAGTGTATGTATTACAGATCTGCACTTGAAAAATTAAAAGAAGTTTTTTAGGGTTTGTTTCTAGAAGCTCCTTTCCACACTTGCCTCCACATATTCCCCCCTTAGGGAGCTAGTCAATCTCAGTTTCTTTATGTCAAGTTTATGCCATTAAAATAAAATTCCAACCGAAACATTAATTACTAAAGCAAAAGGAGTGAACATTTTCCTTTTCCAGTGGTGCATAGAAGCACACATGCTGTCTAACACAATGACACAGCAAGCCCAGCAGCATAAAATTATGATGGATAAAGGGAAGCCTGACTGGAGGCAGTTTTTTGCCTTTGTGTAAAAGGACTATAGGGTAGGGGGCAAGAAAAAACCTGCAACACTAACAAAAAACTCTACCAGACACATGACAAAAGAAAGCAATTTTGATTTTAGACAGGTATTTAACTAAAATTCTTTATCCTACTGTAGCATGAAACTCCAAACAGAGATGGACCCTTACCTTGGATCTCTTTTTCTGATTTGACCCTCGTTTCTGCATATAGCAAAAAAAGAGAAGCAGTTATCACTTCAGTGGACAGTGGGCATGATGAAAGCATTACCAATAAACGGACTAAATCACTTCTATCTGATGTTTTAAATCAGTTGCTGACTGCAAAAGCCACTTCCCCAAACCCCATTTGGAAAGCAGGGAAAACGAAGAATCATCTCTGCTCATTTTCATTCATTTTACAAACAGGTATAAACAAGAAAAAACACTGCACAGTGTTCTGTAATTTTGCATATAATAAAAATGTAAGAAAAGGTATACTTAAGTAAATGCTCCCCCTCTCCAAATTCCTCTTAAATTGTGGTCTCCCCCTTTATTTTTTTTATTCGATTGAGCAAAAAGGATTAAAAACCCCTCATCCGATAAAGTCTTCTTATCAAATTACCTTCTTAGGCTTTGCATAACAACTTTTTGTTGGCAGTAACACCTACAAACCAAACCACATATTAAGTAATTATTCATTAGTATTACCTGTAAATTCATGAGATCAAGGTAGTTTTCTAAATCCCCAAAGAGGGAAAACAGTCAAATGTCTCACTAAGCTTTAAAACAGATGTCTAGAAATTAACTTCTCAGACAAATAACATGGACAGCAGTCTAAAGAGCTTGAAAGGTATAACAAATAACAGCATTTATTTTACAGTGATATAAAAGAACCCAAAATAAATAAATAAATAATTTTAAAAGGAAAAAATAGAAACAGTCTCAAAATTATAAGAAAAATAGGGGAAGTGTAGGCAAAGAAAAAATTCATAGAAATGGAAAAGCAATGGTAGCACATTGATATTTAACATGCCCATTCACTATTCCTGTCTTACCTGCAGGTCTGTCTTGGAATCACTGAGCTTTTCCTCCTCTACTTCTGAGCTTTCAGATTTATTAAGAACACAGTTGTCCGGGTTGGCTTCAGAGATGACAGTCTCCTGCTCTTTTGCAGCTTCCTCTGCTGTCTCCTGGTTCAATTTACCTTGCTCAGACATTCTTCCAGACAGAAATTAAAATAACAAGATTTGGTGACCTGAAAGGTCGAGATACCACGACACAAATACACACAAAAAAAAAACATTGAGGTGAAATTTATTTTTTTCTTTTAATTACTAATTTCAGTTCCTTTGATAAACAAACCAAAATGTGCAGCTAAGAACTGGAAAACTATGCATGTCCCAGCAGAAGAGATGTACTCAATCAATAATATTGGGTAACAGCAGAATTTTTTCAGGTTAAGCAAGCAGATCTGAACAATCTTTTTTGAGAGCAGATTTAAGGTAATGTGCTGTGACTCCCCAGCCCAGCCCCAGGACTGCCAAGGTTCAGGCAGGGACAGTGGAGGATTCTCTACCACAAAGCTCAATGGCACCAGGCAAAAAGGACCCATTCTAGATCTCTGGCATCTCAATGTTCCCCTCCTCTAATTTTTGCCTTGTTTTCTTTTAATAAAAATAATAGCCAAGCAAACAGAAATAAAAACCAAGCATGAGCAACAACACCGTTTTCAGTATTCAGCCATGGGTTTTATGCATAGCAGAAGCCATGGTGCTCACTACCACTATAAATACATATTTCTCCTTTTTTTTCAAGAGGTAATAATTCAAGATAAGTATGAACTCGAAATTTGGCAATAAAACTCTCAGGGTCAACATTTTCAGGGATCAAACCAACAGCTTCATTATTAAAACCTTAAGCCTCTTCCTAAAACCTATGTCACACTTCAGTACTAGGAAAATTGTACAGAAAACCCCTGGCAGGTACTTCTAATGAAGAAATCTCAACTGAACTGCATTTACTTTCAGCTTACAATGGGGTTGTTGTACAGAAGCTTTAAAGGCTTTTCAGAGTTAAAGACTATTATTATTTTTTCTCTCTTTCTCTGCCCCCAGCTCCCTCCTGAAGACTCCCCCACTGATCAATTGTCAAAGAAGACTCATGAATAATTTAACTTTTCTTTCCCATCCACTTCACTTAAGAAGCATCTTCAAGAAAAACAACTGTATTTGAAATGTGAAGTATTTCAGGAAGGGTCTTTTGCAACACATTACCACTTCTCAACAGTGAAACGGCAGCTATGAAGCAAAATCATACTGTGCCATCTTTCTTTTTTACAATTTAAAATTAAACATTCAACAGAACCAGTATAACTTACCTCTTGTTTTTTAAGCCATGTTTTAAGTGAAAAAATCTAAAGCATACTGAGTTATAAGCACTTCTCCTACTTTTCGCTTTTGTTTTCACATTATAAGCAAATACAATATCCTATATAATCTTCCAGTTTGAGAAGGACTGTGAACTTCACAAGAAATCAAACTATAAGGTTCATAAAAAAACTGAATGGAATACGAAACTAACCTGAAGCTTGACTTGCCTTACTGTGAGCTAATTTGTGATTCTACTTTCTCCCACCGGTCTCCCTAAGAAGGCCGATGATTATGGCTATTCTGCAGTTACAACTGAAACTTGAACTGCTTTGATGAAAATTCAAAACATGAGTGGCAAGATCTTTTACTGGTCTGGTAAAGAGCCCTTAATTTGATAAGGATTTTCATCATGAAATGCACATGCAGCTCATCTACATGCTTTACACAGTGCTCACAAAAACAATTACACTGGGATCAGCTGCCCAAAGAAGCCGTTTACCTGAAAAACTGCTATAATTCCAACTGCCTTTCTAGCGTCTTCTGTTGGTCTTTGCTGGTTAAGTCCACACAAATGATCAACGACAACGTGAGTCCCATGTCCCCATTAACAGTTCAGAGTGCCAATCTCCATGCTGGTCCTTCGGAGAGCTTGACGCACCATAGTCAACCTGGAAAAGACGAAAAATAAATAACACCGGCAGTGATCACGGCACAAGGGAGGGGTGCAGTGGATAGGACCAAGATTTCTAACACTAATGACCAGTTTCCAGCAAGTCACTTTCACAGCTTGATCCAGCTCCACCTGTCTCAAAACTGCCTGCTTCTTCTCTAATGAAGGCTAGAGCCGGCTGTTCAAGTCATAACAGCTCCTACGCAAGAAGCTAAAATTAACAATTGCATTATGCACTGAAGATTACTCATTTCAATTCTAACCTTTTTTAGCGAATTCCAGCACTTTTCATTAAAAAAAAAGCATATATACATATTTATATATAAGCTCATCTGTTTGCTTCAACAGAAATCAATGAGGGTATGAGGAGAAAAGATTTGCCTGCTTTTTAACTATGGCTTCTGCTCCAATTAAAACTTCAACAGTCAAACACTATTGAAAAAATGGCTAGGTGGGTGCTTTTAGAAAGTGACTTGCTTTACAAGGGTAGTGAATTGAGATGTTCATTTAATAAGCTGAATAAAATTTGAAATTATCCAGAATGGGAGGAAGAAGAGGAGGAGAAGGAAGAAATCCTATTCCCTGAACAATCCACCCAAAAAAATTCTTCTGAAGCATTTTGTGAGGAGGAAAAATGAGATTTCCAGGTTATGGTTTGAGAAATAAACCTAAAGAAAGAGCTGCCTCAGCAATGCAACTTTTACTGTTCATCAGGACTGCCAGTTGAATAGCTGATTTAACAGAAAAACAAGCATTTTATGATGAGTCGGACTGATTTACAGGCCATGGCCATGTGCTGAACTGTCTTGATAAAACATACAGCTCTTCTCAAGATTTGCATGTGAGTCATGGTTGAAGCAGTCAGTGCAGACACACAAAACCAGCAAACAGAAAGCACATATCATTCTACTGGGAAGGGGGGAGGAAGCAAAGCATGAATAACGGGAGATGATTTTCTGGTTTGTTTTTTTTTTATTTTATCAGACTCCTGGTTTCTGCAGCACGTTTTACATTGTGCACAGCTGCAATTGCCACACAGCACGTGTCAGCACGCTGGAACTTGCCATGTGAAAAGAACTGAATTTGCTGTAACAGAAGTGGAGTTTAGCCTTTCACAATATTTCAGTCCTGCTCTCTCTGGGAGCTCTGGCACACACAGAGGAGACCAGCAGGCAGTTCTGTAAACTATCACTGCCATCCTGCAAATTTATAAACACAACTATTTCCTTTTCCTCAAACCATTCAATAATTTGTAGAGAGCAATAGAAAATAAGTCTTCCCACTAGGTTTTCGGTATTTTTCACAGGATATTTTTGGAAATTCTAGCTCATCAGAAACATAAGCTCAGAATGGGAGTGGAAGAACACCATGGAAAACTATGCCCAAGAACTCAAGCACATGCAAAAGTATCTCATAGAGCCAATACTCAACAAGCAAAGAGTGAATAAACCACTGACTCAAAATCCTTTCCTCATACCCATCTTCCAATGACTTCCCCCACACTTTCAAAACAGAGATGGGGGACGTGGAAAACAGCTATCCAGGAAATAGACTGCTGTAATCAAAACCCTCCAAAACCAACAGAGACACAGATATCTGTACCAAAATCAGAACACACATAACATTTATTTCAGAACTCTCCAGTGTGACCATTTGTTGGGAATTAACTATTCATAAGACAAACAAACAGAGCAAAACAAAAACCAGACAACAAACGAACCAACCAAAGGGTATCATATGCAGCAAGTGAAGAGATCCGCCAAGATTTGGTCTTGTGCAGATGCTCAACATCATCTTATCATGCTTTACCTAAGGCAAATTTCATTATAAAATGAGTTTCCCATATTGATACACTTAAGATTTCTGAAGACAACATCATTTTTCATTGGCAATGTACAAAAAGACCACCGAATCTTAAAACAAACCAAAAAAGCTATCCATCAATTTCCCCAAGAAAACACAAGCAAGTGGAAAATAATCTTATAATGTACAGCTATCATCCTCAAACCCAGAACAACAATGCCTGTTAGGATGATTTTTTAAAGAAATCCTTCATAATTATCTTCTGGGAGAAAAAAAAGAAGACAAGAAGAAGTGAGACAGCAATCAAATCGAGCTCTTCACCTTCCCTTAATATAGATTTCCTCCTCCTTTATTAAGCAATTTACAAGTGATGACTAATCATTTACATACTACAATACGTAAAATACACTTCTGGTTGTTTGGGTGGGTCTTCAGAGGGACTCAGGTTTCCATAAAATATTTCAAGGAGAGTATAAATAGCAAAAAAAGAATCAGTCAGAAAATAGCTGTTAAAAGTGAGACATTTTTATGGAAGTGTGTCTCTGTTTCTCATACGATTCCAGGATATCTTGTTATTCAGTGATGAATGTACTTTTTACAATTGTCAGTGCTGCAATGACAGCACTGCTATGGAAAAACACAGTGGATTATTCTCTTTCTTGTGCATCAACAGAAATGTCAGGGATGATTTGACTGTCAAAACCTTCACTGTCGAAGTGACGCAAAAGGCTGAACAAATGCACTTCTCTTTTTGATCCTCAGGTAGAAACCACAAAGCTTGTTGCTAGGCAAAAACCACCTTCTTGATATGCAAGGAAGCAAAATTTCATCAGGTGTTGGGATCTTAGCAGTCTACAGCAGCTTGCGGCAAAATTTCAGCCCCTAATTCCTTAAAGCAACTTGAGTACTGGACACAGCAATATGACAGAAAATACAGGACCCACCAAGTCACTTGTAGATCCACTTTAATGGAAATATAATTTGTTTGTATAGAATTTATAAGCATGAGCTGCTCAGTATACACTGTGGGATGGGAATGCTGAGGGTTTTTTTCTTAAATTCTCTTCCTTTTAACAGGATTTTCATTTTAGAAGCTGAAGGTACTACTAAGCTTGAACAACTACAGTCAGAGCTTGAAGAGAAAAGGATGGAAGAAAGCGTGGATGGTCACATACATTCATACAACACATACCACGCAAATTCCAAGAAAAGTCTGTGGGAAGGAATACAATTAATTTAATGCAAGAGTTTAAAAACTATACCCAGAAGAACTGTCAAAAAAACAGAACAGAAAACCAAGCAAAGATGTTAGAAAGCCCAATGCAACAAGCACCTGAGAGCTTACCATTAACTGAAACTCAAGAGAGACATCTGACAAAACCCACAGAGGCCAAAACAGGTGAGCAAGCTCCTTCTGTATTATGTATTAGGTGTTTTGATGGCCTCATAGGTACACATGATGAAGCAAGCATTTTAAGACTCCCAGTATCACACATGTCCTTTCTCAGAGAGGAGATGAACAGGCTTTAAGGCCAAAGAGCATACTCTTAACCAAGAGCAGGCAGCAGCAGGCAGGACAGGACTCTGACAGAGTGAAATCCAAGGGTTTTTCTTCAAACAAATCTGCCAAGCATGGAGGTAAAAGCCATTCCAAAGCCCAAATAGATCCTGCTGCTGAAAACTTGCTCACATTGGCCAGATCTATAAGCCAGGATCCTTCTCATCCCGTCATGATTCTCCATTCTCAAGAGTGGTTTGCAGGTATGACTCCAGGAGTTGGAAGCAGAGTTGTCAGTAGGGCTTTCCACTGCACAATATAAACCTCAACCATATGTATCAAGAGAGGTCTGACTTATTACTACTAACTCACTCATCAAAACTCCTGGAAACCATTGGAAATGGCCTCCAGTATTACCTTAAGATTATCAGCAGGCACAACCCTCAATTTTGCCAGATTCTCATGTCTTAAACCATAAACTTCCTGTTATTTGACATTTACTTAAATATTCTTGTCTCTGCCATCTAGAAAATCAAAGAAATGATCAGGTTTCATAATGAAGACAAAAGTTTCAACTCTTTGGTGTCTTCAAAGAAAACATTCATTATATAAACTTGATTGTTAAAAAAAAAGAAAATAAAACAACAACAACAAAAAACCAACAAAAACCCCAATAACTAAACCAAAAAAACGCCCAAACAACACCAGAACCAAACACAAAAAAGGACAGTAAACTAAATCCTGCAGTTTTAGGTCAAACACACTACTACTTCAGTTTTCCATCTCCCAGTCTTCAGTCCTAGTCTTTATTAGACTGTGTGCTCCTTTTCACTGTTTTCCCACATTTCCCAGAAATACACAAATGGATTTGGAAGCCAGTGTATTAGCACAGCAGGATAATAATCCATACCAGTTCTCTTATCAAAATGCTTTAGTATGAAAAAAACCCATGAAACTTAAAGCTGCAAAATGCACAGAATCCTACAAGTTCATTTGTTGCTAAGACTAAACCTTAAAAAAACAGTGCAAAAAGTATTTGCAATTGAAGTGTTTGATGTCATATTTTATTTCCCATCTCCTCCTCCTCACATTGTCCCCTCTTCATCATCACTAAAAAACCAAATAGTGCGATTGCCTACATTTTCTGCTCCTATATGCCACAGACCTTTGCAAATAAAAGGTTATTTAGACTCATTCATTTACCGATGGCACTTTACCAGAGAATGTAAGCAGATACTATTTTTTCCCATGAGTTAAAAAAACATGAGCATCTGCATACATGCAACAGTGCAGAGGCCCCTGACCCAGCTTAAACGGGCTAGAAAACAACCATCAGTGGCAGTGACAGCCAAATTTGACAAAAACAGGGCAGATTGAAACACACTGAACTAGATTTCAAATCCTATACAAAAAGCAGTTGTCTCATAAAAGAGGCAACTAGATAATATGAAGCAGCCTCCCAGCTGAAACATCTGTCTTGGAATGGCACTGGCTCTCATCCCAATGTGCACGTGAAACCCAGTATTTACAAACAGCAGCAAAGATTCTTGAGAACAGTTTAACAACCAAAGAAAAATCCCAGAAGCAAATCAACATTTTGTGATTTACACCTGATTCCTTTTTTCAAAGAGATTCTCTTGTTTCTAACAGATTGCCACCAATATTTTTCCACTTTAATCCCCTGTCAGACGACCTCATGTCAATGTCATCATCTTCAGACAAATAATAATGATGTTCCCTCCAGCTTGTTATATTTCTGCAAAGCTAGAAGCTTTACCCAGAAAAATAAATATAGATGGCCTATAGGGAGATTCTGCTTTGTTTTAATACTTAAGATAAGGCTTGGAAAAAAATATGCTCTTTTATCTGTCACAATGATCATTTGAAGTCTTCCAGGATCAGCATGAAAAGACATGAGGCTGAGTGATCTGGCTAATAAATGTCAATCACACAACTTTAGTAGGAACTGTGTAACACCCAAACTTTTAACAAGCTAATCAGATGTACAAATCAGCACTCCTGGAATGCGTTGTTTGCTTTAGAACAGCCTTCAACACCACCTCATGCATTTCAAACACATATGCCAAATTTTCTCTCATTCCCCTACAAAACCTGACAAAATTCCCTAAACTCAAAGTCATTAAATTAACTGGTCTCACTGTTAGGTGGTGGAAAACAGTGCAAGACTCTTGAGTCCAAAGAGACAGACAGCAAGGCTCTTAGCCATCCTCAAAGTACGTACATCTCCTTGAAATACACAAAAGTAATTTTCCTTAAATCCCGTAATGGAAACAATAGCCAGCATAGGCAAAATACACAATTCAAATGGAAAGAGGGACCAAAACTCATCTTCCCAGATAATCAGGCCTATTTCTCAGCTATTGAAGATAATTATATCACAAAGTCCTCTTTAGAGACCAACAGCTTTATTTTATGACTAGAGGATGTCCAGGGAGAATGCTTTAGTAATTTTGCTCAAAGCATATTCAAGAATCTCACAGCTTTGCCAGGACATCATCTCAATTACCCCATCATACACATCAAATACTTTATACATTTTTCTTACTGTGCCAGTAATTGCCCTCCAGTTTAATTAGCTTTCTTCATTTCACAATAGTTTTGTCTTCCTGTGGGAATTCACTGTACATCACCTCATCATTTGTTGTTAGGTTTAAAGAAGCCCATTCCTTTTAGTTGACAGCTAAACAGGTCTGCATTATTTAAATTGCTATCCACTTCTAATCTGGTTGTTTTTTTTTTTAATCAACAGTCTGCTTCATCATTTCCTCACTACTCACCAAGACTACACTCTGGACACAGACGTTCCTTCAGCCATCAAGTGGTGAGTGCACTAGAGGAGCTCCATTTCCACAAAATCTAAAACCAGTTTAAAGACAATGAATAATATGAAGACATGACAGAAGGAACACTATCATTTCAATATGAAACCCTGATCAACAGCACAGAATAGTGAACCTGGGCTCCCCACAGAGTGGTCTCAGCAGTGCTGAGGACAAATAAGAGCTACTACAGAGAGCCAAAGTGTGGGAATCACTGTGGACTGAATTGCTGAGGTGACAGATACCCACCATAAGCTCAGTGAGATAATTAAAGCTGCTGGTGTGATGCCATGATACCCTTCTATGCATAATGAAATCTGGTAGAGGATACAGTTTACACTAATTTTAATTTTTATAGAATATATGTGTAGAGTTGACTTTAATGCAGAAGTTCTTGAAACATTTCTTGTTTCTCTAAGTCAAGCCGTCCCTACTCTTCTTTCAGTGCCTTCTCTTTGCCATTTCAATCAGGTAGCTACACATTATATCCATTTTGCTTTACACACAGAACTACAAGAACAACTTAGCTTATTTCTTTACTCAGTTCCTCCTAAAGCCTAAGGATTTCACTAAAAAATGCAAGCACTGTTCATCTGCAATTCAAGCATATATGCCTTTGAAGAATTCAGTCTAAGAAGACTGCAGGTAATAAATGAGGAGCCAACTAAGCCATTCTTCATCATTCACTAATAACCAAACACAAAGCAGTTGAGTCCAAGGGGGGGAAAAAAGCCCACAACATCCCTAAACAAAGGAAACAAAACAATTTTGTACACTACTAGCACAGTATTTTAAAATACATAACACTCAGTAAATAGATGGCCCGTAACTTATGAGCAATTGCTTTACACTTCTTCCAACATCACCAGGGAATGGAGGCATAAACTGATGAAAAATACTGACCAAGTATCACCGAGTTTCACATTTGCTTGTCCTGATCTCTTTCTTTCCTAATTTATATAATAGCCCCTATATTTCATCCTGCCATTTCTTGACAAATTAGGTGCATTTTCACTAGCAGTAGCTTAATTGGCAAATCCTGAAAGAAAATAATTGCTAAGAGCAAAGCAGCATTACACTGATGAAACAGACCTGAGCTTAACAACTAGAATTGCCTTAGCAGACAAACACTGACTGCAAAACAGCAAAAAGCTTTCATATAAGAATTGACCGGAAAAAATTACTTTATTTTCCTCCAAAAGTCTCTTTTGATTACCAGAATTAAACATACCAGCTAATCGTGCTTTCCTAAGGCTATTTGCTGAAACAAAACCAGCTTACAGCTGAAGTAAAATTCTTCATGCCAGAAAAAAACCCAACAAAACCAAAAGCAATAAAGATTAAAAAACAAAATCAAAAAACACCACCATACACTACAAGACATCCCCTCATGTACTCTGCTGCTCAGAAAGTGCAACTATACTTTCCAAATTCAAAGTCAACTCATATCAAGCTTGTTTTAATGTTGAGTATGTTTTCTAAGCTCATATTTCAGCCAAGTCTCCTCTATCAAAACCCACAAAGGCTAGATAGATCCTTTGAGAGTTCCCAGTGCCAAATGGTCTTATACTTTTTAATATATAATTTTATTAGTTTTTCTTTATCAGCAATGGAACAGTCCTAAAATTTCTTTGATTGTGTTTATCAGAAAATATACTGGAATACAAATGCTTTGTTGATGACTTCATTTGTGCATTTTGTAGACTTAGAGCAACACTAACTGAAAATAGTTTACATATACAAAGTCTTATCAAGTACACTCCTGCTATAAACTGCTCTTCTGTCTAAAATCTTGCGAGATGTATGGAGAAGATTTTCACAGTTTTCAATCAAGTCTGGAGATGGACTGTTTTTAACTCTATCTAAAGAATGGCTATTTTTTTCACATCAGATCCACATGCCTTTTTTCTCATTATTGGAATATTTCTCATTATTGGGTCTTCTTGTTCTGAAGAACAAGAAAACTAAGGCAGAGGCATTATCTTTCTGCCCTAATACTACAGAGAAACTATAAACAGATATAATACATATAAATAGCTATATGAAAATATTTTTAAGGTATTTAATCTATATATATTTATGTTTGAACATAGGTTATTTGTACTTTATGAAAACACATTAATCCCATTTTGTTGGTTGCAATTTTGTCTGGTCTCAGGCAATGTAGTTAAGTAACAAATACATTGCAAAAAGAAGCCTTAAGTATGCTATGGATTGTATTCATAACTCTATGTTCCCATGGTTTCAAAAGGAAATGAAGAAAAACAGCAATTATAAGTATAAATTAGAAGTCAAAAGGTCTAATGATTAAATGCATGTTACAAAAGCCAATGAAATCATCAGACATTTTTGCATAATGCTCCAAGCACTGGAGTGCCAAATAACCTCAATTTATTCTCACTTGTCAAAATAAAAAACAAATTGAGCTTTATAACTTCTGACATGTGAAAAAGAGATTAAAAGTCATCCTAAAATATGTATTGTTATACACCACATTCTCTTCTTAGTAGCATCAGGACAATGTGCTACACATTGTAATCATCTGCTGAAGAAACAAAGGAAGACATTCAACTATGAAATACCAGTATTTTCAATGTCACCTCCATGGCCAGCAAGAGGAAGAAATCCTCTTCAGAAGCAGTTACAATAGTCAAGAGAAAAAAGGCAGAAGCTCAGGTTCACAGAACAGGCAATGCCAGTTCAGATCTGCAGCTCTGGCTTCTGAAAAGATCTTGCCAGAAACCCTGCAGTTTCAACATTATGTTTGCCTTTTCTAGTGGGTAATTCCAGGCTCCCTGTGATATCGTGAACAAAAGAAAAGGCAGAAGTGTTTCAATGCCCAATTGTGTTTTTCAGGAAAAGAAATTATGATATATTTATGAGAGAGATAAGTAGTTTTATAAAAAGCGTAATTTGCCACCCCACAAACACCCAGCCAGAAAGCTTCACGACACATGAACTAATAAAAGAGCAATGAATACCCAGAAGAAATCAAATATTCAAGCCAATGTCTCCAATGAATATGTTCTATTGAATTTAAACTAGAAAATATATATATATATTTAATCCAAAAGGACATTTAAAAAACAATCAGAAAAACAGTGAGCTTTTCCAGTACTTTAAATCTTGTTATATAGATTGAAGTCTCCAGAAGTTCAAATATTATTTTAAAAAAACTTCTATAATATCAAAAATTGTGTTTACCTGCAGTGAAACAATCTGTCTTACTTGGCACTAGAAACCACTAACTACATCAATGATCTAAAAATACTGAGATTTAAATTACAGGAGAGAGGTGTGGGACCAAAGCTCTACAGCCTGCAATACATTTGATTTTCACTGAAGAATGGCCATATCATCACATTTTTTCCATTGCTGTGCTCAGTAACAGGGAAAACAAAAAACTTGATTATCAAGCACAACACCAAAATCACAGAGGAGAATATATTGCATTGATTTTTGAAGAAGAAAAATGTAGGTGGTATGAATTTACTATGATATATATTAGAGACAGCTCTATGCTAAAAATTCATTAAAGATGTATTTCCAGGCTTAAGTTCCAGGTTGGCCCTTAAATGAGACTCTTAAATGGGACATTAATTTAAAGGTTTTCTGAAAAAAAAGATTCATAATTATTCAATAAGCTATCTCTAAGATTTCAGAATTTAATGAGTACTTTGAAACTTCAGTTGCCCTAAATTGTTTAGCTAAAATTTCATAATGTTTGCTTATGTATATTTTGGTGGAATTCATCATAATCCAGTTACTCTCTTTTTTTCTCCTTCTAAACATTTTGTAAAATTCACTGGTGAATTAAGGATTTTTTACCTATGTGCCCATATTTGGAGTCTAGGCTGACTTTGCCCTTCCAAGAACTGAAACAATCCTGTTGTGTAAAATAAGAAGTCTGTTTGGTTAATTAGTTCTTCACGTGTAACACTATGTTATCTGAGCCTCAAGATTTATTCTGATACCTTCAAGATTTTCAAAGGCTGATGAAACATGACACAACTATGAGAAAGGGCAGCTGTCAATAACCACTTCTGTCACTGTAATCCCAGTTCTCCTCCAATCTGTGGTCCTTCTTGCAAATCACCCCTCCTAAAGGAAAAAAAAAGATCTTATCCTTTGCATCTTTTATTGTAATATGTCAAAGTGCAATGGCAAGGATTTATGACTTTTTCTTCTGATGTCAGAACTTGTGCCTGAGAATTTTACGCAAAAGACAATAATTTACTGTATGCTTTGCTTAACTTATGACACACTCTATAGCAAAACAAATCTTCTGATCAAATACTGATTAAAACCCCTTATCTGCTACACAATTCAAGACACTGAGAGGAGGGAAAGAATTGCAGTTTCATACAGAAGAATAAAGCAAATAAACTAATTCACAAATAGTATTATAAGTGCTACAATATCTCAAAATCACGCAATTATGACATCCAGTTTATAAGTATTACTTTCAATAAACAAACAGAAAATCAAACACACCCTCCCCTTCCCCCTCTGCCCCAAACCCCTAGTAAATATGCTCTGTTTCAAAATAGGGTTAAAACAACCAGGGTCCTGTTATATATAGGTGCTGACTATAAGTCAGCTCACCAACATTCCAAATTTTAGCAAATACCATCAGAAGCAAGTGTAAATAAAAACACACTAGCAACTCTGCTACAGAATCACTGAACTTTCAATAATGCATGACTTTAAAAAAAATCCATACAACTAAGTGAAAACTTTCACCCCATTAAAGAAATGAAAAAATCCCAGTTTAAAATATCAAAACATTTATTACCATAAGAAATATCTCTTTTTTACTAAATGAGTAATCACCTGACAGTATAAGTTATGGCCATATTGTAAAAAAACTTGAGAAGAACTGAAAAACTAATTTTATAACAAAATATATTTAATATTAACTTCAGCTGCTAGGTAGCTGAGCTATTTCTCAAAATAATTCAATTAAAATAGCTGTATCTTTGAGCAACCCTCTCTCTTCTCCTTAAAAGCTCATACTTCAACTGTCAGCTGATTTTCTGTATGCCGACCAGAATTAACTGGGCTGAAGTTTTTTTCCTTTTGCTCTTGCCTATGCATCTATGCTGCACAGGTGATTTTTCACTGCTCTTACAGATGAGCATTAGCTATTATACACATATACCATATACACATAATAACCTGACAAGTTTCATTTTCTTCTTCTAGAAATCCAACAGAAAATAAAATTAATAAAACTGTTGCATACCTTAAAAATAAAGTAAAGCAGTAAGTTCAGTTCTGTACTTTTAGTTAGACCCATAGCCGTCTCCAGTCAGAGAAGTTGTGGGCACACTATAGGCTATCTTCTAAATAGGAAAGTAACACCTTCAGAAAATACCCATTATTTAGGAGGGACCAAGCACAGGTCCATCAGCAACTCCTAAAACTGAACCATGCAGTCCAGTATGTTAAAGGCACAATGGCACCCAAAAAGCTAGGTTGGATTCAAGTTGAGAATTGGGCCACAAAAGCCCTGATCCTCAGAAGCTCCTGCATGGAGACGTGAACCAACCTCACACCTGTAACCTCATTGTTACATTTAAGGGATACTTCTTGCTTCAGAGAAAAATGAAATGGATAAACCCCCAATGAACAGTAATATTTCTCTCTTCTTTCTACCCCTCTTCTGAATCTTAGTTATTTTAAAAGACCTTCTGAGTTAGACAGCCAGCTCATGGAAAACAAATGTACAAGTTAGTACCTTCATGCTAGTACAGGACCATAAAAATAGTTGGGTTTACTAACAGTAAACCCCACCTTGACCTATAAACAAGGAGTCTTGAAGCCGTGGTTGTCAGAGCTACTCACACAGTACACCTTCCAACACCAATTCAAGATTGTCAGCAATTGCAAAGATAACACCAAAGATAACACCCGTGAAGCCATCTAAAGCTGCAACTGTTTTTAAAGCATTTCACATAGCACTGTGCTTTTAAAGTTTAATTTGGCATTTTAACTAGAATTAACAAATTAAATAAATTGCATCCTCTTTGAAGAGGGAAATAGTTTTTAAGCTGTGTTTATCCAGAATCTTCCACATTTTGACAGGAGCTGCTTGGAGCTACCATAGTATGGAAAGCAAATCTACCAAAATGAGACAACAATGTGGTAAGGATGTTTAGGGAGAAGGCCAAATCTCAACTAAAAATGTAAAACAGCTGTTATCATTCTGTTCATCAGAATACAGAATAAAGAATAACAATAAAGACACTTAAACATTCATAAAGCTCCAATGATAGCTGGACACCAAAACATCACAGACCCTTACAAATATTCTAGTTTCTTATCATAACTGGATAAAACCAAACAGAATTTCTGCACTTGAACTCCAATTATAGCAAGTTAAACAAATCATTGTAAATGCAATACCCTGCTGCTGATCATAAATGGTCCTGCTGCTCCATACAAACTCCTCTTGATTTAAAAGGGAGTCGTAAGAGGAGGAGGATGGTGGAAAACCTGAAGAATAACAGAAATGTTGACAATGAAAATGAATCTATCTTCCTGAACTAAACAGAAATAATCAGACTCTCACATGGCCAGTATCAGATCAATCTGCCTGCTCCTGCAAGTTACTTAAGAAGCCTCTGTTGTCTGACAGCTAAAACATCCGAACATTACAATCCAATCAAACTGATTAAAGGAAGGATGACATTGAGAGCAGACTAAAATGAGATGAGCACAGCCCAAGAGTCCTAACACTAGTAAACAGAGCAAGACTTGCTGTGCTGCCATAGCAGCTTGCAGAGGTTAGCTTCAGCAATCACTGAGCATTCACTTCTACTCAGCTCAGGGCTTTGGTAACATTCCTGATATCGGCATGGTGCAGCCTTGGCACAGGAATTGTTAATTGTGCAGCAGTACAATAACCAAAGGCTTGCTAGATTGCAAAATGGCATGACACGAGTCAGCAGAATACAAATGCAATTTAAGTATCCCTTTAGTTGTCTTTAAGCCAAGGAAGTAATATTTGAACCTGTTTTTCTAAAGCATTTATCCACATTTAAAAGAATGTACTGAGATGTAATGTGGCTGTAATGGAGCTCACTGTTTAGCCTTCTCATTTCACTGCATAATGTAATTTATTTCTCCTTGTAATAGTTTTCATTAAATAAAGAAGAAGGACTGGTTGCTATGCATTTTTCACAAGGATATCAGGATGTCATTCATGACCTGATTTTTATCACCACTGGGCACAGAAAATAATTTTCATGCAAAAGGAAAAAAAATACATTAATGTTAAATTTCAAAAGATATTTTAAAAACAAAGAAGTAAAGATTTTCAAAGTGATGGCTCCCACAGCATACATAATGTGTCATAAGAAATATTCCATATTGCTATATTCTATGTTTTATGCAATTTAGCCTAGTTATTATGGCTGTGGGAACCATAAGCAGCCATCCTGACAATTTCATTCTCAACTGCAATGTTGCAATAAGGGAGTTTCAGTACTTAATTTCCCTGTTTGTTTCAAAAATGAGGGAGGAAAAGAAAGGGGGGGAAGATACAAGGAAATAGCACAAGAAAAAGGAGGAAGAATATTGTCATTTCTTTGTGTTCTAATTATTTAAGTCCGTGGTGAATTTGGTATTTAAAAAGAGCTGTGAGCATGGAGTATTAGGAAAACCAGCACTTACACTAATCCACTTTTAACAAACCCTGCAGACAAATTTGTTATCCCTGGAATGTATTACCCTGCTATGGAGCAGCGACACCAACACCATTAGATCCCCCTTTTTCTTTCCCCCATTACGAATGCAGCCAGCCAAGAAAAGGCCTGTATCTCTTGGACAACTGAAGGACCTTATATTTCCCATTAACAGTTGCCAGATCTTCTCTAGTTAGAATGAAATTCTTCAATCTACAACAATATGATCCCCAAAAAATTTACCAAGTGACAACAGGGTCTGTAGATGGACAAGTCCTGTGCACAGCCAGGAGTTGGGCTCAATGATCCTTGTCGTCCCTTCTAACTCAGCTTATTCTGTGATTCTGTGAAATTCAATACAAAGGGAAGCCATCTTTCTTTATCCCCAGGAGAGAGAGAACCTTCCCAAGACATAGAAAACCACATTATTTTGTAATTCTTACATTTGCTGCTGTGTGTTATTTTTTCAGTCTGCATGTTTATTACTTCCCTATTCCCATTTCATCTTCTCAATATAGACAAAGCCTGAGAAACTACACAACAGGATTACACCAACCCTTTAAATACTAATACAACCCCGAATACTAATCATTGTAACTTTTAGCTTTGGAGCTCATTCTCCTAAAAAAAGCAAGCAAATCCCCCAAACCCAGCTCCACCCACACACTTCTTGTTCAAAGAGCTTTGTATTTACATATTTAATTTCGTCACTCAACCCTGAGTTTCCCACCCATTTAGAGACAGAGCAATTATTAAAGAGCAAAAAATTCTTGCCACTGGACAAGTCTTTCTTTGCATGCTTTCTCCTGCAAAAGTATCCAAACACACTACTGCTCCTGAAAATTCAAATCTCAAAGCCACAAGAGGATATATAAACCTCTGATTTTCTTTTAGAAGTGTACTTGAAGAACAGGGAGTAGAGAGGGAGTTTATTGCTCTTTCATTTTTCTTTCCTTAAAAGCCTTAATATGGCTTTTTTCAATCCTTATCTGAACCAATACCACCTTAAGTCAGACAAATTTTAGCCTGCTTCCAGTCTGATGGGATAAACAGGAATAAAAAATCTGAGACTGTTTACATTTGTATATGACTGCAGCCAAAGACAGGTGCAAAGGCTGCCAGCTGTAATTGCTCACATATTACCTTATGCCGAATGTTGATTTTTTTTTATTCAACAAAAGGTTAGAATTTTAAAGATTAATGGCCTCCTAAATGGTATTATCTAATAAAACTGCCCAAAATTCAACTGCTAGGTTCAACAAAGGGTCTTGTTTCTTGGAAATCTTTGTTCTGGGAAACATTAAGACCTCACAAAATCAAAATACCAAGGCACTGACAGAATAGAAAAAATACTGAGATAGACAAGCAGCCTCCAGCATTCATACTGGTGGCTTGACAACTCAGAATGGAACAATGGGGCAAGACTTTTTGAGTGCCAGCTGAATGAAACCTGCTCCAGTCATCCTACTCTACCAAAACACCATCTCCCTGAAGCATACTTCCTTTGACTAATAAAACTTACACTTCTAGAAAAGCAACATGTCCCGTAATATTTCTACCTAACCAAAAATATTTACAGAATCAAGCTTCATTCACTGCAAAAGGCCTGTCACCAATTGTAAAAAATCAAAGAAAATAGCTGTAGCAGAATATAGTCAATGATGAATCTTTTCAACAATGGCTTTAAAACCAACAGTGAAACAGAAGCCCAACATTTGTAAATATTCTGTCTGCTGTGGGCAAATCTGCTCTGCATGCATTCAAGTTGTTGAGACCAGAAGGTCACAGTGAAAATTTCCATACATTATCAGGAATGGCCTCATTCTTGGCTATCTTGCCTACCCAAAAATCTTTCATCTCTCATGTTCTAGCCAAAATCAGAGCATGACAAGAATATTACTGTTTTGAAGGCCCTGGCATATAGATATTTTCATACTTAGGACAGTCTAAGAATTGAAGTATGTTGACATTCCAGTACACTGAACATACATGAACAGAACACATTAGTTTGCTATTTGCATGGCTGCCTAAAATGGCATGATATGGAGAACTAAGAGTATTGGCAGGAATACCGAGCAGTACTAAAAACACAAACCAGGGAAGAAAACACAAAGTTAAATAAGCATTTGAAAGGTATTCTTAATCCTGTAACTTTCTGAAATCAATGAACTCTGTTTAGGTTTATCAATACCATAACAAATGTATCCATAGCCCACTAACTGTATGTGGGAATGCTTTCCCACTCACTGTTGGGAAGAACGTGACTTACCTTCTTGAAGCAATAAAACCCTGACAATACAAAGGCATGTCTCCCATTTTCTGTTTGGCTGCAGGAATGTGAATCTCTGCCTCTATTACACCATTTGCCTCCCACCTATGCCTGTTCAATGTAAAGGACCCTTTTTTCAATGTGTGGGACTAAGAAGGGAAGAGTTGGATCTTGGTGTAAACTCTAAGAACAGCTGCAAAACATAACTCGTACAGCTATTTCATAAGGGAGGCCAGAATCAGTATTTTAAAACAATTTGTAACACTTGTTTTCCTCCTCAAGAGGCTTTTCAGCATAAAAAAACTTTTGAAGCATGAAGTCAAAGAGCAGGGATAATTAAGAGAGTCAGTTCCCCTGTTTTTGGCGAGTATCACCACTAGCATCTTAACAACTAATAGGCTAATCCCTGGAAAATGACAATACACTTGGCTGTCCAAGCATCATTTATCGAGCACTGCAAATAACTTGCATGCCATTGGTAAAAAACAAGCTGCTAGAAGATCTCCTTTAGAGGATATTCTTTCCCTTTCATTCATTATCAACATGTCTCACTATTATCCTCTGAGCTGTAAAAAATATATCCCAAATGTTTAAGTTCTGGATAGTCACTTTTTTGGGGGTTGCCAAGGGTTCAAATGCAATAGGAGAAACCTGCTTCGATTTCAGTGGAAGCAATTTCCTCGGTATGCAAACATTTAGTATCTTGTAACAATTGATTCAAATATCAGACTCCTTGCCACAGCAGAATTAACAGTCTTCCAGCTGAAGCTGTGATTGGCAAAGCTACTGATGCACCCCTCCCACTCCACAGAGCTGTGTGGCTGTGGCTTGTAATTCCACCCCTGTATTGCACACATTGTTTCAGAGGTCTCAAGATCAGCTTACCTCCTTCTATTCTGAAAATGCTCTGCCTTCTTCTACTGAAATCAAAGCTCTTCTCATCTCATTACAAACATTCAAGATTTTGCATGAGTGACCTTATAAAACTAACCAAAATGAAACAAAGAATTTTAACAATTTTTGTGAATTCGCTCAAAGTAAAAATGTCTGCATTATTTTCCTTTACACCCACTTCTTTAGTTTTTATAATTCCTTATGAAAAAGGTTTCTTGACTTCATAGGGCAAATAGGCATATCAGTCCAAGCATGTGAACCAGTACAAGAACAAATTTAATATAGTTAGTTGGAATCTCTGGCAATTCACAACAGGGAGAAAAAAAAAATTACATAGTAATACAAACCTTGAGGTCTGAAGGGATAATTTAAGTACATCAAATTTATTTCTGTTTCAAGAGACACAACATAAAACTTCTTTCAATGGTCTTTAGTTCTTCTGCCAAGTGCTTCTCTGAGCATGTTCCAAACTCAAAATTATCTCCCAGGAGAGTATCTCAGGTCAGAGCTTTCTTTCATTGTTTCTGGTTTTGCTCCTATATGGAGAGTATAAGTTCCAGATGTGAACTGGGAATGTACAACCACCACATTTTTGCTTTCTTGGTCCTTTAGAAGATTCTATAGGAACTGAAAGGAGTTAATTAGTTTTTCATCTATACACTGTCTCTTGGGGAAGCCTGGTACCATAAAACTTACAGATTTCTTTCTCTCCCAAAATATGGACACTTTGTGAAATCACTCAATGTTTACAAAAGAACATGATGGGGCCCTTCTTTGTAAATGAAAAATGGTGTTTCAACACTCATTTGTAGAGGGGCTGGCTTTTTCTGGTAAACACCAATATTATGTGTTTGCAACTGGTGCGTACACATTTTTTAAGAAACAGAAAAGCTATTAGTTTACTTGGTTAAATTTAACCTAATCATTTTTATGGTTTCCTTCTCTCTTCACTTATTTTACTACTCGTGACCACACAAAATGCAAAAATTTAATTGCAGGAAAGTACAGCTAAGCTTACTTGTGTAAACATACATGTGTATCTATACAAGAAACCTGAGTATTAATAAAACAAGGTAAAACAACTTTTATTTTTGCTTAAACTGCAGTTGCATCTATTTTCACATGGTTTTGTGGAAGCTAAAATCAGCTGAGTATCATCCTACTGGGGCAAATGGGTAGTGACATCCTCTAAGCACTGACAAACACATGTAATTCAACACTTAAACATTCACAGCTGTTTTAACAGATCAGACTGAAATTTTTTTCCAGTGTGAAGTCCCAAAGAAACACTTGTGCTGACTGCTAGTGACACACATGGAAGAGTGTTTATGCTTCTGACACACTCTATGTATAAATTTACTAAATGCACGTTTACTTTCAGTTGCTCAGACAATGGATATATGTTCCTGTCAGACACTCAGAAATCCAACACAACAGTCTGTAGCTCAACCTATACTTCACCATAGTAGGAAAAAATTGTCTTTCAGCTCTTCTGGCTGATGTAAAAGGTTTTATTAGGAATCCTTCCCTCTCAAAGAGCAAAATAATGTTAAATACATTAATGTTTTACTGCTGCCATAGGCTTATTTTATTAAAAAATCTAGTTTTGAAATTTATGCCCCAGGTCAACCTTTTTTTTTTTCAAAATTCAAAATGCATTACACATTTTCAACAACATAAGAAACTATTAAAGACATGAAAAAGAACTCTGCATAACCAGAAAGCTGCTCTTGTGCAGACAGGGAAGACAGAACCGGTATAGGGATGTTCCTTGGTTCACAGAGGTGTGAGAAATGGGTAATCTCATTATATCAAAAGTATCAGAAAATTCAAAGGGACTCAAAAGATAAACAGGGCATTATTGAAAACAAGAAAGATAAAGACTGGCTGCAGCTAGCTGCAGCTAGAAGAAACTGTAAACTTTCCAGCAGCATAAGAAAATTTGGAGATCAGAGAAGCATAATACTCCAGGGTAACTAGAAAAGAAAAAGGACAACTGCCGTTTTAAATTCAACCCTTATTTTACACTGAGCACAACATTGGAAAAACAATTAACACAATTGTCAAAGCCATTCATCCACGGCTGGTACCTCCTTGGATAGGCAGGGAAATGGGATGCAAACTCTGGCACAAAGGAGGGTGCCTGTTATACAGGTACTCCTCAAAAAGAACCTAGAATAGCACTGAGAAAGACTGTAAAAAAGCCTGAAATTTACAGCAGAGAGAAGTTCTACAAAAACCAGTTATAACAGTTATAGGAAAAACTTTAGTAAGGAGAAAGCAAAATTAAATTTCTATCTAAAAGCAACCGATTTAATGAAAAGGTACATTTACAAGTCAGTGGCATAAAAAAGTGGTTGTTTCAGGCACAAGCTTCAGTAATGTCCAGGCCACACCCAAGAGTGAAACTGTGATGCCATAGTGGAAGCCAGTGGAAGGCTTAAAAGCCAAAGCCAAGACCTCTCACGTACACAGCAAACCAGACAACACCTGGTTTTAAGTCACTTCTGTATTCCAGTCTCCTGAACAATCCTGTCAAGTGAAAAATAATGGCTTCTAATGCAAAGTAATAGTCTCAAAAATAAAAGTTACAGAGTCCACACACAGATGCAGAAAGCAATTAAATTCTTATACGTGCCTACACAATCATTATAATATACATTTTCATGATATTCTGAAAAAGTTGTGAAAAATATTTGCAATCCAAAAATAAAACAGATAAATAAAGACTCCAATTTCAATGCTGATTATTTTTGACTCACAGCTGTATCAAAAGAGCTACTGGTTTTTAAAGATTGAATAGGATTCAGCATAGAGGATTATAAATTATTACTGCTTACTAAAAGGGGATGACCTTTTATGCATTCTACACAAAATAAAGACACTAGAGGGGGATTCACATACCTAGAATGAAACGGGTCATGTCTACTTCATAACTTTTTCAAAAACTTCCCCCTCAAATTGTTTTGCCTATCAAACTTTCACCTGAAAATAAAAAGCTGCCTACATAAGCGACAGCTGTCTGCAATACTTAAATCTGGTGGGTTTGGATGTATTCTAATTATTTGTATTACCATCAGGTTAAACAATGGTGAGTATTGTTTTTTCTGGGTTTTTTTGGGTTTTTTTTATTTTAAATCTATCCTGGTTAGAGCTAATACTTAATATAAGCTATATATATAAGCATGTTTCTAGACTTAAAATATGAAATCAATTAGCTGAAAGAAATCTCTTCATTCTTTCAAGCTCTGTCACAAGTACTGAGACTTTTAAATTTTCAAATGGTTAAGACTTTATTTTCAAATTATCTTTATTTGTACCTGTTTAAATTCTTCAACATTATCAACCGCTGAAACAAAAACATGCTATCACATTATTTGTCTGGAAAAGAGCCAATAAGTAAAGTCTGTAATACCCAAGGGTGACAGTAGAGTGTAACTGCAGCCAAAGGAAAGTGAGGGTCTCCAAATTTCCTGCAGATTGCAGGGCTGCACACGAGTAACTGTGTAACTCAGCTGTGACTGAGCTAACTTGTGAAGGTATCATGACTTCATTGTACATGCCAATATAAGCCCAACAGAGGCAAAGTGAATATTCCTATTGTGCCTCTTTATAATAAAAGGCTCTAAAATGCCATCATTTCTAATTAATGGGGGGGGAAAAAAAATCAAGATTCAAGGGAAAGTAAGTCCAAAAAGTGAGTATATCCTTCTAGGACACTGAGGAATACAGAGGCTAAATAAGCAATGAAGTTAGTCAAAATAAGAGCTAGATGACTAACCAGCACCCCCTTTCCCAGATACATGGCCATCATTCACCAGCACCTTCCATTCTCCAGTGCCCCCTTTGTAACAGACACTTCTGTGGCAGGCAGGGAATGCTTGTGCATGAAAATAAGCCACTAACAAAACTGAAGGACATTTTAAAAAAATTATTTTGCCTATATACATAAAGATGCAGGGCACATAATAAGAAACCTTGAGCATCAGCATCTTTAACAAGAGTAATAACAACCAGAAAAATTTTCTGTGCTTCTTTCATATGACCTCCTGAAGCATATTAGAATTAACTGAGCCTCTAGACGAAATTGTTTCAGAAACTACTACTACAAGATAGTAGGTAGGAAAGTGAAATAGCGATGGAAGACAAATGCTTTTGTTTATGCAAGACTCTGTCTATAGGATCCATTTTGTTATAAATCTCACTAGACTGAAACAGCAGTTACAAGCCATTTATAATAATGCTCGGATTCACTAGCTCCTTAAGAAAAATGAACTAAGAAATAAGCAGCATGCAAGCCTGCATCGTAAAACTGGCCATAAAAATGGGGAAAAACAGGTAACCACAGCAGCAACTAAATAGTAAACTGATGGCATTTTAGTTATTTGCAACAAATGCAGTATTGAAAGCAGACTGCTATTTTTCACACTTCTTTTACTAGCCTGATTAGTAGTGGCTACACTCTTGAAACCATTTCTTCATATCTCACTTACAAGGAGGAGCAATCCCCTGGGGTACCTTGAGGCTCAAGGACCTCAGCCACAGCCCCAATGTGTCATGTTATGTCAATGGGGATGTTATGGGGCATCAATGCAAGCTGAACATGGCCATCAGGAAGGGCAAGCAGCACGATTTCCCTTCAAGTCTGCTTTCCTTACCCAACTAAGAATTCACTCCAAGTGCTTTTCAAGGCCTTGCTGGGACTATTCATTTGCAACATGGGTTTTATCTTCACTGCCTACCACACATCAGCTGCCAGCACACTGTACAGATGTATTTTGGGTCACCACAGCTAAATGTTGGACAGCTTTGTTTTCATTGAGCAGTGCAAACGATGACAAAAGTGTGTATTTTGTTTAAAAGCAGTTCCTTTTGTATTGTTTTCTTCCTCTATTCAGTTCCCAAATTAATCTTTCTTACAAAGTTTCACAGTGATGAGAGATGGCCAGTTGCCTATTCTCCTTCCAGAGGGACATTGATGCTTTTTAAAGCTGAATGTGAAAAAGGAAAATTCAATGCTGGATTGCTGGACTAAGTTTGTAAGAAAACCAAAAAACAAACAAAAAACTTGAACAATGGGAATTTTCATTGTTCTCACACCTTGCTCAAACTTACTGTCTCATGGCTGACCATTCTCCTCTTGGAAAAGCTTCATGCTTCTCAATCACACTCCCCCCCCGCACACACACATTTATCTGCTTTTCCTATTGGAAAATGTATTTTTGGGGAAAGTTACTATTTTTTGTGAGGACATTAGTATGCCATACAATTAGTCAACTTATACTATTCTGTAGCACTTTAATTTGTAACTACTCCCACTATCAGGAAGACCTCTTTTAAAGACAAAGATTATTAAAAGGCTTCACTAAAAAAGAAAAACCTTAAATTATCCAAATAACCTCAGAAAGGCATTTGGAAGTATTGAAAATCTGTCCCTTCCTGAAATAGAACCAAGAAAACCCCACCAAATATGTCATAGTATTTCACTAACACTACCACAAAATACTTCAAAAGGAAGGCGCTCTGGTTTTCCACTTGGAACTCAATGAACACATCCTCTCTTGGCAGATTAGTGAGCCAGTTTATAAAAGGGTCACCTTTAGCTTCTTGAAATAAACAGGCATTTTATGAACATCACACCCATCACCTACAGCCCATGCAGGGCTGAGAAGAACAGGTCTCTAGTGGCCGATGACCACTCCCAAACCATTTCCACATGCACACACTACACACAGCCAGGCATCAGCAGTAGCCCAGTGTCATCCTCCTCATTTTAAGCTTGAGAATTTACTTGTTGGGTTTTTTCCATTTCTTGCCTTTACAGAGATGCCAGTATAAAAAATAAGATTTCAACAATAAAGTTCTGCTTCACTGACACTAGTGAGCACATGAATGGGGGTGGTCAAGACTGCATGTTGAATCTACAGTCCTTCTGCTGGGCTGAAGAGTATAAACTTTAACACAATATTACTTTTACAGCAATTTCCTCTACCATATATCAAAAGTTCAGTCATTTCAATGGCCAAATTTAGCAGAAAGATGAAAGTAAGTGTTATGCCTATCTTCCAAATGCAATCCTGTTGTTTCCTATCCACTGGAAAGGCAGTTGAGCAGCAAACTGATAATGCAGTCATATGGGGAAAATTCCAGCTTAGTTTGTCCAGTAATACAATTGCTAGATCTTAAACTTTTGAGTCCACAAAATATGTAGACACACATTTTGGAAGGATCTTCTGCCATACCAGCTTCCTGCTACAGAAGCAGGATCCTGCTGCATAGTTGACTGAGTTGCAGCAATAGTGTTATATAGGCTAATATTTCCATGCATTTATTTACAAGGATTAAGATTAGACAATCAAGTCAATAAAAACAAGAGTCAGTCAACTTAAACCTAGGCTATGTGAAAAAAAAGTCCCTCTCACTGCATTCCAAGTCTACAGACATTTCCACTCATGCTTTTAAAAATCACAAATCATCTCCTTGGCAAACAATTGAATTCAATAATTAAATTACCACCAAGGACACTGAGAAAGGCATAGGCACCATTATTTGTGGAATAAACAGCTTAAAAACATGACATCCCTCTAAAAAATGGAATGACTCCACACAACAGAATTTTGTATTTGAAAGGTAAGAGATTTCTTCAATTCATTCTACTAGATGGATAACTGAACTGACTGTCCACCAGTCTGGAAATTAACCCATTAAAAGAAAAAAAAAAAAAAAACAGTTCATAACTCCTATACATAACCTGTTCAGACTGCTGCCATCATTTCTTTATTAGGTTTCATTTCAGAATGTTACTTTCATTATAAACTGACAGAGTACAGTGAACAATTAGTGAACTAGGCACTAATGGCAATCAGATTACTGAAAAACAAATAACTGAATTAAATCCATAATTGGCAGCTGAATACAGGCATTTCTCCTGCTATATCTCAGCAGCGAGAAAAAGAAAACAAAATACTGAAGAAAATAAATTTCAGCTTTCAGATGATGGCAGCAAACCATGTTCTTTCAAACACAACCTTTACTCCTGTCTTCAGAAGAAGCTACTATACATGCATTTCCCAAAAATATACAGGGATTATGTATTTTGTATAGGTCCTCAGATGTGGACAGCTAGTTGCCTCCATTGGTAACAATCTCTACATCAATCAGTTTTCTCCAGTTTTGACCAGGATCTGTGGCCATGACATCATGATAACCAGAGGCACAAAAAGAATATATAACCTTCAGCTTTCAGTGCAGTTTCCAAGCTTACTCAACAAGTAAGCAGATATGAAATACAGAATAATTCTCTATATGTAAGAACACCAGTAATTTTCCCCTTCTTTCATTGTACAACCCAGTAACACAGTAAACTGCCTCCAACATACTCTTTTAGGCGCTATGCTGCTCACAACATAGACAGAAGTCCACCTGAAACATCAGAGAGCCAACGCATAAGTCTTTGACAACAAAAACACTGTTAAAGCTATTTAGTCTGCGTCATTTCCATTACACTTTCTTTTCTAGGCAACAGACACAAAATTGTATTGAAAATACTGCTAATCCTAGAAAACAAAAATAATTTAAATAAATAGATATAGGGCACAACATTGTCCAGGGGCATGAAACACTCACACAATTCTATGGAGAATACTGAATTTAGATGAAGGCCCCAAAGGGACCCAGATATACCCACAGGTGCTCCATACATAAAGTTCAAAAGCACAGGGTCTTCTGGCTTTCACCATAAAACTTTTTGTTTCACAAATGCAATCAGACCTGATGGCACTCTCTTCTTAAGAGATACCAGAACAAAATCCAAGAAATTTGGGAACTGGTATATTCTGAATAATGACAGTATGTTTTATGTAACAGGTTTATTATAAACTAAATGTCCAAAAATCTACCAAGAAAGGCTGTTTTAAAAATTGCAGTGCTAGATGACTATTAAATCAAAGGTCTCAACTCTTTCAAACAGGGGCAAGTACCTGACATAGAAGAAGGCAAGCAAAAATAGCTGGAAAATGTGAACAAATGATGAAAATCCAAGAAAAGTCAGAAGGGTCAGTTTAACAATGTAAAATTTGCATAAGGGGCACAACTTAGAAAAAAGCAAAGGCTCAGTATGAAAAATGGCCAGATAGTATATGGAGCAGAATAGAAACAACTGATGAAAGTGGTCAAAACAGTCAAAAAAGAGGCAGAGATATGCCAGTGACTGCTTGAAATTCATGTATCAAGAAGCAGAACAAGGCAAGAGTTTATATTGGGACTGTGGTGAATTCCTCCTATATTTACCTTCCTGCACTTCCAGCAAGCTTCACGTCAGGGCTATGAACCGATTTTTAGGAAAATCCTTTGTTTATCTTACACTTAAGGACATAGTAATCTCCTAATTTCAGTATACTTTACTTCACATACTCAGTTTTGACAAAAGACTATAACATTAGATACCCTCCATATTTTTTTATTTTCTCTGCCGAGGAAGCAAAGCTACTTGAATTTATCCCCATTTTTCAGATTTTTTAATACAATAATGTGTCAAGTTACTGTCCCAAAATAAACCATCTTAGGTCAGGAACAGAGCCCCTGAATTCCTTTTATTAAAATCATCTGTCTGGCAGTGAATAAACATTGAAATTGCTTGTACATGTAGCTGAAGTTCCGAGGACCACTGGTACGTTACATCATATGCCAGCCTCATTCCAATGACTGAGTATGGGTAATAAGTGACAGATTCCAGAAGAATATTCAACTATGTACCAGAAATATGAGGGTCACTTATGCTCCTCTTTTGTTATGATCTCAGGCAACGCAAACCTAGCAAACTCATTCCCATGCCATAGAATTTTCTCACAATATACCACTAAATTTCTCAGTCTGCTGTTACATTATAGGCAAGCCAAAGACTCACGGCTCACTGGAGTTTCTCTCAAAGTCCTGAAATAATCAGAACCGATTTCATTTCTCCACATATTGAAATGGTGCTGTTTAATCAATAAAAAATTTTGTTAAGAAGTGTCAATATCTTACTGTCACATTTTCTGACATGCTCTTCTCCTGAAGCACTTTTATTACAGATGGCTTTGATGTGCCTGACAACATTAATAAAGACGTGACACAAGTGTATGTTATCAAACAAACACAAACAGGACTGGGTGCCAAAGGAATCCACATTTCGGCACTTGCTGCCTGGACATTGAGCATAACTGTAGTACAGAAAATAGTTTGCAGCAGTTCTTTGAACACACAGCTCTCCAAGAAATAATTTGTAGAGGAAAAATTGTAATTAGCCTGTGTGAGTACGAATTATGTTCTCTGGTCTACTTCCTGAAAAAAAAACCCAAAAAAAAAAAAAAAAAAAAAAAAAAGAAAAAAAAAAAAAAAAAAAAAAAAAAAAAAAAAAAAAAAAAAAACCCTGAGGAATAACAAACACATCAAAGTAATACGTGGGCTTTGAGAGAGGTAGGTGCCTGCCGCATCTTCCTCCCGCATTGCGGAAACCATCACGACAACAGAGCGAATGGACAGGGTGTCTGTGGAACCACAGACCATGCCTACAGGGTTACCAGCAGCAGAACCACAGGTAGCTAAACTGCTGAAGCAGGATTTGCATCTCAATTTGCTCTTTCCTACCAATCCTTCCCCATTAATAGAAAGCCCTTTATGGAAAGGTGGGGATTTATGTAGCCACAGGGCATATTTTACTATTACAGCAAATACCTGACTAACTTATGAGGTACTGCCATGTCAAGAGAAGAGGTACCAAGGATAGAAACTAATTTATTTTCAGAGAACTGGCTACATACCACAGAATCCAGGATCTTGCATGTCTCCCCAAGACTAACCCACAAGTTTCTTACATTGACATTAAGCCAAGCTAAGAAGTCCCACTTTAGCCCACACTGCCAGTCCTCAGACTTTGGCAACAATTTTGTGATCTTCCTTTCTCTCCTGCCAGATAGGTGGCGGACAGGAGCAATTCTGCAATAGCAAAAATCAGAAGATGTAGATCATTTTCAACCCCTGTAACCTCAGATTTAGTGAGCTTAGGTGTGATTGCAGAGGAGTAGTCACTTTGTCCTGATCCTCTACGGAAAGATAGGCATCACAACACATGCATAAGGAATTTTATTTTTGTTTAAATCAGAAAAAATTATCTTGAAAAGACGCTACACATTTATATATTTTCTCTGCATTATCCAAAATTCCAATTAGTTTATCTTCAGGGTATCTCCCCTGAAAGTTCTATTTCCCTTTGCTATCCTCCTACTTCAGATGCATCGCAAACTGATTTCACATCACAAGCAGTACTAATAGCACTAATCCTCCACTACGCCTTTACCCCATGACTCCCTTATCTCAGCCACCAATTTTGAGAGGGCTACTTTAAGAAGCAGGTCATTCAAGGACTTCTTTCAAATGCAGTCATTTTCAACAGTACAGATTAAACAAAAGTTGCATTATCCC